TACGCATGACAAAGATGTGGTAATACTATTTATTAGAAAAATTAGTGGTTGTTTAGACTGACCATCGATCTTTGCTACATGATTTGTACCTAGAAAATATGAAATCACAACATCATTGTTGAAAAAAAAAATTGTAGCTTTTTAATATTGAATTTGAATACAAGCAAAGACAACAACATATTGTACTAGACAACTTATCACAAAGACAAGTCTTGAAGGTCAAATCAGAAGATAAGACAAAAGTTGCTATCACTACTAGTATCATTTCAAACTTAACTAAAGAGACAGAATGGAAAGAAGCTACACATTGAGATGCTTATTTTAAGATGGTTAGTGATCGATTGAGAATAGGTGATATACAGTATCAAGATTACAATCTTAATAATGGCTTATTTTATTTTAAGAAGCAAATTTATATACCTAATAATGTTATACTTTGGATGCACATATTTCAAGAAAGACATGAAATTCTAATATCTAGACATCTAGGGTGAGAAAAGACTTTAGAACAGATCTCAAAGACATAATTTTGGATAGATCGAAATTGTGATGTTTGAGCTTTTGTGTACTCTTGTGACTCATGCCAATGTAACAAGACATACAATATAGCATCTCTTTGACTATTGTAGCTAATTCTATTATCTATGGCTCATTGAAAGGAGGTGGCTATGGATCTCATTATGTATTTGTTGCATATGTCTTATAATCACACTACAATTTTTGTCTTTGTTAATCAATTCTTGAAGCAACTTTATTTGGCCATGGAGTATTCAAATATTGATATCTTAGTGCTTCCACAGGGTTTCTTTGATACTGTCTTTTGTTACTATGGATTATCCCGTATCATTGTTTCAAATCAAGATCCATACTTCACAAGAAGTTTTTGGCAAGTCTTATTCAAGGTACTAGGTACACAACTTGCCATGTCTATAGCCTTCCATCCTCAAACAAATGGATAAATAGAGTATACAAATCACACCTTAGAAGATATATTGCATGCATTTGTGGAAATTCATCATAATATTTGAGATGAATATTTGATGTCCTTGAAGTTTGCTTATAATGATAGTATTCAAGCAAGTATCAATCATTCACTATTTTTCTTTAACACCAATCAACATCTAATTATGCTAGCAATACTCCATCGTCCCATTAATACCAACAACCTCACAATAGAGGAGTTTATACAATGGCTTACAATGGCCTTACAAAAAGAACAATATCACATTCTTACCATATAAAATCTACAAAAGTAATATGCAAATAACCATCGACAATACAAGACCTTTTGAAAGAGTGATCAAGTGTTATTTTTCAATGCCAACTTCCTACTTACTACATCAATCCAAATCCGTAAACTGACACCTTGGTGGCTTGGACCTTCCTATATTTCTGTAGTGATTTTTGATATTGCATACTACCTTGAGCTTTCGCCATATATTTAAGTCCATTTAATCTTCCATATTTTGCAAGTAAAAGAATTTTATACCAAGCCAAAGTACTTTTCAGATTGATATCAACCACCACTATTACCAGCTATAGTTGATGATCAATAAGAATATGAAATAGATAGCATTTTGGAGCATCGCTACCTTTATTGTGGAAGTGGATGTCTACAACTTCAGTACAAAGTTCTTTGAAAAGGTTATCCCATCTACAATGCAATATAAGAATATGCACATAACCTCACCTATTGCCAAGAAATAATTTGGAGATACCATTGAAAGCAAAGCAAGGACATTTTGGATTAGAGGAAGAAAATTAACTATAACATGGTATATATAAGATATTTATATTTTGACACATAGAGATAGATAGTTGGAACCATGTTTGAGAAGTTATAGAAGTTTCTAGAATTGAAGCTAGGTTAATGGATTATATAAGATTCATCATGGAACATTCTAGAAAGAGCTTAAGGCGGTTATTTAAGTAGGGCCTTCTATAGAACCTTCTAAAAAGAATTTAGAGTGGTTATCTAAGTAGGATCCATCATCTAGAAACATTCTAGAAAGTCTAGGATAACAAAATAAAGTATAAATAGGACTCGCCAAGTATAAATAGGGATATTTGCTCAGATATAGCTTCAGTCTTTTTCTTTCAATAAAATTTTGTTTGTATTTTTTATTTTTTTCTATTTTGTTCTATTTCTTTTTGCTTTGTTTTTTATTTGATGTTCTTTTTTGTTTACTTCTGTTCAATCTTGTTCTAGTCCATTTTGTCCTATTTTGTGATGGAATTTATGTTGCTATAGATTGAAAGGATTTTAGATCTTTAAGAGAATTTAATTTCTTTTCAATGTTCTTTGCAAGGATCTTTGAAGTAAAACTTATAGAAGAAAATTTGAAATCTATACTTTATATTAGTAATTTTTTTGCCAATTTTTATAACACCACACTTTTTGTTGATTTTCATTGCACCACATCTTTTGCTAATTTTCATTGTACCACACATATTACTAGCTTTCATTGCATTGCACTACAAACTAGAAACTTTACATCTAATTTCACATCTTCTTTCAATAGAATAAAGGCAAGTGGATGTTAGTCTCTCAATTCAACTCTGCCATTCTTCTTATCTTTACCAAAGCAATCACCTTTGAGAAGATCTAGAATATAGAATTTGATTGAAGAATGATGCATCAAATTTTGTCTTAGTCTTTGTATGCTTAAATTTTTTTAGAGCTTCTTTATTTTTTAATTACAATTTTTGAATAACTTACTTAAAGAATTTTGATCTTGATAAAAGTCTAAGTTTAGACTATCACTTTATATATAAGAGAAATTTGAATTAGGTTATATATCAAGAAAATATGGTTGATATATAGGTAATAATTAAGAAAAATATATAATTTTCAAAAAATAATGAAGATAAAAAGCTCTAAAAGATGAAAGATTGTCTAGAAATTGAATTATAGGTCAGATATTCTTCAACCATAATAAACCTACTTCAACAGTAGATGAGGTCTTGAAGCCAAGTATTCTCCTCTTCAAAATAGGAGTAGCATGCATTATTAGATTCTTACAATTTTTAAGCTCAATATTATTATTTGCAGAGATGTATTCACCTCTGCGCAAAATCTCTATATACCAATTCTTGTCCATGCTACAATTATCTAGTCTCTCTTTGATCTTGTAATAAATTAGTGAAGCCTTATCCAATTCTATTAACTTTCTTTCTTATGGCAATTGCATCTCTACTTCAAACATTGTAGAATCTTGAGTATTATCCAATATAAGAGCGCCAAGAATTGAAAGGACAAAATCTTAATATGAATTACAAATGATTTATAGTACAAAGAGATGAGGTTTAAGGAATAAATTTTTGAAGATCATTTATATGGAACAAGTAGATATTTTATTAATATTTAAATCACAAAAAAATGATGAAATAATAATATTATAAGTTGAAATTTAAATTTATAGGAATTTATTAGTATGAAGGTGGGATCTTGATTAAAGCTCACATACAATAGTAGGGTGACTTTTTTTGTAGGTATTTTGTGCAATAAGTAAGTTTAATTGCAACACATGTCTTTTGTGCAATAGATGCAAATACTACATTAGCTCATATACTAAGTGAGTTCTATTTTTACTATAAAAATCTCTCTTTCAGTCACACACACATATATATAATTTCTTCTTCAAATAATTATCAAAAGTGATTTCATGCTATATGACTTGTTTCTAAGTTATGGTTGTTGTCCTTTATGTTTAATAGTGCGGAGTTGATGCTTAAGTAGTATGTATGACCTCAAAATAAGCAATCAACAATATTTATATTATATTTGAATATAAATTTTGTCTCAACTTCTTGGTACCCTCTCTTCTTCTTTTATTCTTTCTTATTATTGCTTTCTCCCTCTCTTTCATAATAAGCCTTCTTTCATTAGATTCAAAAAAAATATACAACTCATACGAAGAATTGTACAAAGACATTCAAATCCATGTAGCAAATTGTGGCTATGCTATTATGACTAGGTGCTTAAAGAAAGACTGCAGCATGTGGTACTATTATGACTATAGCAATGGCTACAAAAGCATAGTTCTTGAGTTTTCTTGAAAATAGTGGCCAAAAAAATACATATAGTTCCAAAGAAATATATGTATATATCATTTGTTTTGTCATGCATTTACAACTCCTTAGTCTTTGACATGAATTAGAATACTTGCTCAAGAAGGATGTATTAATTTCTATTTATCTTAGTTTAATAACAAAACTAATCAAAAAGCCTTCAAAAGATTTTAATTAAATTTAGAATTGATCCAAGAAGCATGTAAAATGAACTAAGTTGTGGAGCATAATATATTTTTCTCATTAATTAGCAAATAAACTATATATATATATATATATATATATACACACAAAACCAACCAAGTACTATGATTCTTTTGAAATAATTGTAAATCTTAACTTAAAAATTTAAAATATTTAGAGAATTTAAAAATAAAATCTACAGAATAATTCAGGAGACAAAATAATGATTTAAGTTCTTTTCTGTAGTTGGTACAGTATTAAATATTTATAAAAACCACATTTTGTGTAAAATATAACCTTTTTGATGCTTCCTTGGTTATTAAATATTTATATTTTAAGTCAATGTACTAAAGTTTGTAATAAAAAATAAAAAATAAAAAAATATCGTCAAACGTGTATTTGGAATAACTTCAACAAAATAAAGATACTCCATCGTCCAACATAATGTCAAGTGATTAAAAAAACTAAAAAGAAGAACTAATAAAACAACCCTAAAGGCATGGAAAAACCCTAAAAACACGCCACAAGCCCACAAGCAAACGGGGAGGAAGAGTCGCGGATCTCCAGCGTGGAAGATTGCCAAGCTCGCGAGAGTGGATTGTGGGGCGAGGGTGGTGGACAGGGATGGATGTGTGGAGAAACGAGGAGGAGGAGCCTGGACCCGGCAATGGAAAAGGGCCAAAAAGGACCCTGCTGTTACTGCAGCCATAGCTAATGGAGAAAGCGCTGCTGCTGCTGCGTTTTTCTTCCAAATACAGTGTTGGATGATACAGTAGTGCAGTTTGGCTTGGCAACCTCGGTTGGATGAGGAGGATGAGCAGCAGCACCAGAAGTGCAGATTGCGACGAGTTGCTGTGCGTCTAATCTGGAAGCGGTCTAGTCTCCATCGTTGGCAAGGCTCGGAGTGGGTTTTATAGTTGAGCACTTGGGGTGAAGAATGCAGCGGGATGTGATAGAGCTTTGCTTCTCATTAGCTCTTCCCCTTTCCACTGTCTTCATCAGGATGCTTCACAGAAGAGAGTACCTGTAGGACGTGAGGCGGGGTAGAGTTAATGCAGGACAGGGGGACGTCACAAGGAGCTAGTCTCGAGAGCAGCGTCTGTTGTAGATTACTCCTGGTACTGGTCTTTGTTTTTATTGCACTAGGTGGTGTTTTGCTCCTGGGTTATTTTATTTTATTTTGTTTCATTTTTTCTGTTGTAGGGTTAGGGTTCTTCTGATGCTTGGATGTAGGATTGGAATGCTGCGTGGGCACAGGCCATGGGAGAGAAGATAACTCATAACTTTTGAGTTTCATCGCCGAGGAAGCACAAATTTGTGTCAGATAGCCGTGAAATTTCCGTGCAGAGGTGTTTGAAAGGGGATGAGTTGTTGAGCAGACGCAGGAAGATCAAAAATACGCTGGACTTTTCTTTGTCTTTTGAGTTCGTGGTGTTCGTATCTTTGACGTCTCTGAGAAGGATAGAGTATATCTGCTGGCATTCGGGTTCAGAACAGAAGTCGATTGGTCGTGCGGGGTTTAGCCGTCGTGATGGCGGACGATGCCCGGGAACGAGGTGGAGATTATATTGCAGTGGGTAATCTGGACGAGGATTCTCAGCCTTCGAATAGGAACCCGAATTCTTCCTCACAGGGCTACTTCTCGTCGTTTCCTGGGAGTATCAAGTATCTGGTATGGAACGAATTTTGCGAGCGATTCTCCTTCTATGGAATGAAGACAATCCTTGCGCTTTACTTGGTGCAACATCTCCGGTTGAGCGAGAACGAATCCACAGAACTCGTGCACCTCTTTATTGTCGCGTGCTATGCCACCCCGATCCTGGGCGCCTTCATCAGTGATTGCTACTGGGTACACACATCACATTCTTTCCAATTGACTTTGATTCCTCGTAAAAGGAATTTGAGCCCATTATATTGAATCAGTTCGTATGAGTGCACTTAAGAAAATTCTGTAGTGCTAACAATTTCATTGCCAAGTTGTTCCAGAGGGAGACATTCACTAAATGCTGCGGAACCATTGCTATGAGCCTTAGAGCCTTGTATTTTCCTTTTTGATGACATAATGTGAAGCTCCTGCAAATGAATCTATTACATATCAGCAGTGGTATGTAAACCATGATTATGTACTATCAATTCTTCCTGAGACATGGTTTTATCTGAGATCATTATGGTAATCCTTGATATTTACCTTGCTCATCTCTCCATGCTCACTTCTCATTTCTACCAACATGTAACTGTAGTTCTCTCAGGGGCTAACGGTTCATTCAACTTGTGCAGGGAAAGTATCGCACTGTTCTCTACTTATCAATGGTGTATTGCATTGGAAACTGGCTTATGGCTGCTTCTGCCTTGCCCAAGGCCGATCCCACCATACAGCGCACTCTCTTTTGGTCCACAGCGGGTGCCTTGGGGTTGATTGCATTTGGCACTGGTGGAATCAAACCCTGCGTAGCGGCTTTCGGCGGTGATCAGATTCAATACTCACTACCAGACGGCCCGACGAAGGAGCGTCTGCACCGTCAATTCTTTTCCCTGTACTACTTCGCAGTGAATGCGGGGTCAGTCCTCTCGACCATCCTGACCCCAGTCCTCCGGGCGGATTTCTCCTATGCAATTGCCTTTGCTGTCCCAGCTGCTCTCATGATGTGTGCCTTGCTCATCTTCTGGTTGGGACGCAAGACATACGTGGACCGTCCTCCAGAAGGCAACGTCTTTGCGGAGGTAGGTGGGGTTGTTGTGGACGCCATCAAGCTTCGCAGGAGCAGGGGGGGAGGAAGCCACTGGCTAGACAGTGCTAGAGCTAAACATGATCCGGGCGTTGTCGAGGATGTGAAGGGGCTCATGCGTGTGTTGGCCTTGCTCCTCCCGACTCCCCTCTTCTGGTCCCTCTTCGATCAACAGTCTTCCAAGTGGGTCTTTCAAGCTAACACTATGGATGGCCGCGTTCCATGGCTGTTCAATATCACCATCCAGCCCGACCAGATGCAGGTTCATAGCTTAAGCTTCTCCTCTCTTCTCAATGAAGATCAGTATTATTATTATTATTGTTGTTGTTGCTGCTGCTGTTTTTATTACTAATAATACATGGCGTAAATTATTGATCACAAACCCTGATCGATTTCTCTGAGCTCAAGTGGCAAGACTGAAATATTTTTCTGCTTTCGTTTGAGTTTTTGTATTGAATTTATACTTTTTTCGTTGGATTGGTTTTGTGTTTTATGCAGGCCCTCAATCCTGTGCTCATCCTGGTCATGATCCCCCTATTCGACCAAATCATATACCCATTTCTCGAGTACCACCGTTTCTCACTGCGGGCGGTGCCAAGGATGGTCATTGGGATGATTTTGAGTGCAATTGCATTCTTGTTTTCCGGCCTCTTGCAGCTGGCCATTGATAATCATGCAGCTTCGGGACAATCCTTGTCGATTTTGTGGCAGATCCCACAGTACGTGGTGATTACAGCTGGGGAGATCATGTTTAGCATCACGGGCTTGGAATTTGCATACTCGCAGGCCCCAGATTCCATGAAAGCCGTAGTCCAGTCTGCGTGGCTCTTCACTGTCTCGGCAGGTACAGTTATTTGGAGCCTTTCTTGAGTTCATTGCATATGAATTGTAGACGAGGTTGACATCATAACCAAACCAGTTACTACTGATACAGAACTCAAAGATCTTGTTATTTACTTTTTGGTTTTGCTATATCTTGGTGATTTGTGTCAATCAAGTGCGACCTTTACTAGTCATTCAACCCCTTCATATTATTAAGTGGAACTCAGCTCCTGTACTTCTTTTGTCACAGGCAACCTTGTGACTGTCGCACTGGTGGCAATTATTGGCAACAGCCTCTCAAAAGCAAACGAATTCTTCTTCTTCGCAGCTGGATGTGTGGTAGCGATGCTGCTCCTTCTATGGGCTGGTTCACAGTTTGTCTACAAGCAGCGAAGGTCACAAAGTTTCCATGCGCCTGTGGATGAGACTCTGATAGTGCATGCTACAGACGACCGTGCCTATGTGGGATGACGTCGCTCGTTTGACAGAAAAAGCTGTGAAAATAAGAAGGAAGAAACAACTACAGCTACTATTCTCAAGTTCATTTTATTTGTTGTCGAAATTCAGGATACAGCTGAATTGTCAGACCTTGAGGCATCCCTGCTGGATTCGTTCTCTTCATCATTTTTAGTAATTTTAATGAGCCAGTAATTCTCAGGTACAATCTCCAAGCTATTCGGTATGTAGTGGGTCTTGAGAGTTGGGGAGTGGCATCTGCCTGGGAGATTGCCAGGTCAAGGACTGGGAGTCATTCCACCAGCCTTCAATTGTTTCATTGATTTAGAAACTTCATTGGAATCTGTACATTGCTGAGTCGTACTGTGAATACAGCATACAAGTTGGGTAGTCCACAAGTGTGTTGCTAAGTGGCAGATACCACGCATTCAGACTGGTCCAGCTTTAGTGTTCCATATTATCATCATTATTTTATTTCCTTATTGAAGGATTTTAGAAGGATTTCGCAACTTACATAATGTTTCTGCTTTTAGCGGGAAATTGGCTACTGTAACCACTCATTGTGCTTGTGTCCACTCGTGTATACCCACTCTTTAGTGTCTTATACAACATTTTTCTGTGATGGTAATGTATACTTCTACACCATTTGTCATTTTATTGCTAATCTTAAGTATTTGAGAAATTCTAACAATGAATTTTATCTCTCTAGTCTTGCGCCATTGACCACCTAATAAAAAAAGGAGAAAACAACTCGCAATTCGCGTGATCTTCGGCTCGAAGATCTATGGTTGTTTGGGTATTACCCCAAGCTACATGACAACATCTTAGTGTTACTTATACTCAAGAGCAGTCACACAAAAGTGTTCTTCCTCTGATTCTCTTTGTTCTCAATGAAAGAGAAGGTCATGTACCTCCATCTGAAATGCCAGTGTGGTTGGTGATCTTGGAACATGGCCGACTCTGCCAGAACTGATGTCGTTACGACCTGGCTCCGGATGAGAGGTAATGGCGACATTGGCACTGTAATCAAGCACTCTCTGCTCTCTGTTGCTGCGACACTTGGGTTCCACGTCTCGATTGTGAACCCCGAAGGTTTCCTGCCAACGATTTACAGCTTTGTGGATTATTTGTTGGTGTGTCGTAATTTATATTTAGTATTAGTCTGCCTCAACGTTCAAATGCGCACGGGTGAAGCATGAGGCTCTTTGCGAAGAAACTGTTTTGATTTTTAAATATTTTCCCTGATGAAAGGTTTTGCCTCTTCGACGTAAATAGAATCGGTCATATTTACAATGTTGGGTTTCCAATTTGGTAGGAGGATGTTACTTTATTTTTGCGAGTTAGACGTATGTTAACGAAATTCGGCTTTGTCACCCATATTAAACTAGAGATATAGCAGCACGTGCTCAAATATGCGTCGTCATGTTAAATGTTTAGAAAGATTTGTCGATTTCCATCAATCGCTCAGGCTTACTGAGCCGTAACAGGGAAGGATGTAAAGAATTATGCGCGTCCCGTCGTGGATTTGACACGAACTAATTGAGATTGTTTCTGCTTGCAACAGAGGAATTTGCCTTAGTAGCGCTCAACTCGGGGCGAGGGAAGCACCAAGTTTGTGACACGTTTTCTGTGAGTTTGCACGGGAAACTGACGTTGCAGCAGGCATGGTAGCATTGGTGGATTGTACAATTTCCGCTCGGGGTTTTAAGAAGTAAAATGGTTCACACTCGGTTTTCTTTATCATTACCTAGGGTTAAGTTTAAAGACGACCAGTCAAGCTTCACAAATTGGTGTGTCACATCTGTTTCATCACAAACCGGGATCACCACGAAAGCATGGAGAGTAATACAGCGCTCTTCCCAACACATGTTGCTCGAATCCAGGAGGTTCGCTGTCATCGTTCTGCTTGCGTCACTTTCCAATCAGACTGCAACCGCGTGTCTTCGCTTCTGCTGCAGTTAATAGGATGAGATTAATGATATCATAGAGGACTTCAACCTCCAAATTTGCTGATGCATCGGAAGAGATCGATTTATAGCCGCCGAGTCTGAAGAAACTGTTCAGATCAACGACGTGTGTTCTGTGTTGATTTGGGTGGAAGAGAATCTTCAGCTTAAACATTAATATGAATTCCATTTTTGGACCAAATTGTGTCAAAATACTTGAAATCCTCATGATTTCTATTTTCCTGCAAGTGGATACATTTTTTTCTTTTTACACTCACTGCGCACGCGAAGATGCTTAAGTTATTGAAAATGGGTTTGCTACCTTAATGGTAGAAAATCAGGAATTAAATCAGGAATTCAATGCATTAAGAACTATTAGAGTTTCAATAATAATAGGAACACATTGAAAGCATTAATGTGCTCAGCGAAGTTAAGTGCTGAAAATTAGCACAAGGCTAGGTTCTAGAATAGACATATCTGTTGTTTGTCTTGTACTGCAGTTCTGCTCAATGCTATAATTGACATGGATCCTGCTACATTTTAGTTCAAGATCATGATTTTACATCAGCTTCTTGCATTAAAAGGCTCTTATTTCCTATTCCAGTTGTTTAGTTTTTTTTGTTTATTTGCTCTCTTAGAGGTAATGGCTTCTTTTGAATTTAGCCTAGATTGATTGCAGTCCAATCTAGATGGCAAAACTATTCTACATTACTTGATTAGTAGGTGTGGTGGCATTACTGCTCAACAATATGTGTAAGAGAGTTTTATTGTCTAAACTCAACTATTGTGCAATACTTCAAGACAATTGTAAGCATCAAAGTAGAGAATGGTATGGAAAAAGATCAAAGCGGAATTGTGGAGTCAATGGAGAAGAGAATTAACATGGGAATTACCAAATATTGTATCTTACAACATGGATAAGAAGAAAATGGAGCAAAATTTGAAGGTTCAAAGGATGACTCTAAAAGTCATTGGCTCTACTTAAAATAGTTGTGTAAGTTGTGTACGTTCTTTAGTTGTGTAAGCCTATTTTTAGCATTAAATAAATTTAGTATAGATAAATAGAAGGTGATAAGGAGAAGTATGTGTTGCTAATAAATAAAATCGTCTTAATTTCAATAAAAAGACTAAGTAGAAGCATCAACAATTCTATAATCTATTCTTTAATCATTGATCTACATAGGTTTCTTAATAACATTTTTTCTATATTATTCTCCTACTTTCATGCATATAAATGTGTTACTTTTGTATTTATTTCTATAGAGACTCTCTTCTAATATCAACTATTAACTATAAAAAAATAAAAATTAACAGCAATCATTTATCACAGAAATAAAATAAAATAAATTATAGAATTCTTTTTAATTCATAATTTGTTTCTTTTGGATAAACTTTTTTCATCACTTGTTTGTTATTTAAAATATGTTAGAGATTTTTTTATTTATTTTTTAAATGTAGGTATGTTATTACATCTATATAAATAATGTTTAGTTGCAAAAAAAATTATTATAATTACAAGTAAATTTCTTAAAATAAAGATAATTTTATTAAATAATAAGGTAGAATTAAAAATATTGCAAAATGAATATAGACAAATGAGGTACAATTAGCTTTGTACTTATAGTATATTTGCTTTTGTCTTGAATATAGCATCTTCATTATTCATCTTACATACTAAATAGATTTAATTTTATCATACATAATAAAGTAAATGTAGTTATAATATATTATATATATGTAATATTTAATATTTTAAAATAATAAATACATATATATTTTTTAAAAAAATTAAAATTTAAAATAAAATTACTAATAATTATTTAATTTTAAAGATAAAATATGTAATATCTGAAAATTTTAAAATTTTGAACCACTACTTTAAAGTCTAAAAATGTTACCATTATCTAAATTATTTTATTTTATTTGGTAAATAAATAGTAATTAGAATTTTTCTTAAATTTATAACTTAATGTAGAAATTTTTAATTAATTAGACTCTACTCTTGAAAGAATTTTTTTAAATATAATACATAATAAGTCTTTAATCTCTATATCTATAGATATTATGCTTCTTGAAGTTTTTATAAATATGTATATGTATATATATATATATATATATATATATGGTTTTAAATTATTAGTATTATATATCAGAATAATTATATATTTTTAATTTATTTTAAGACATGTTATACAATGTAACAAAGCTAAAAAAAATTATATACTATAAATAACTAAATAATAAAAAATAAAATAGTATATCTATTAATATTAAATTTAGCTATAGATAAATAAATAAACATATATTTATATACATGATAATAGATATTTTACATAAATCCATCTAAACATGTATTAATATAATTGTAAAAAAAATTTACAAGGACTATCCAAAAAATGATAAAAGTCATGACTATTATCTTTCAATTTCTTTTCTTTTTGCTAAGTTGAGAGTTGTGTTTATTTAGATTATACCGATTTCAGTATTTAATGAACTTATGCTACAGCTTTCATAAATTATAGTTACATCTTTTTCTAAATTTTTAATTTTATGGTTATATTTTCTATTAAAGAAACACAACAAATAAGACATAAGTAAGTATAAAACAGCAAGGTTAGACACAAGAGAAGTGTGGAATGAGATGTCTCTCGCTTCCAACATCTTTTACTAATAAGTAGAATTTACATCCATTTTAGCTAGTATTCATCTTACTTTCATCCAACTAAACCTAAGATTCTTCTTAACCTAGCTGCCACTTTGAACCCTAGCCGCCACCTATAATCCTAGCCGCCACCTTGGTAACTTTCCTTCATCCTTTTGCTGCCCTTTCACCATTAGTAACTTATCTAAGATAATATCTTTTACCTTCTAACTTATCCTCCATTTACTTTAATACTTCCACTTTGATATTGGTCAAAGGCTAATAAACCTAATGCCTTTGTCAATTTGTAATGTCTAGCCTTCACCAATGCATTTGTGAGCAAATTAGTAAGTATGTCTTTCATTGCACAATACTTCATGTCAATCTTCTCCCGTATGAAGTAATATTGAATGTCAATGTGCTTTGTTCTTGAATGATTCTTTGGATTTTTGACAAAAGCAAGGCATCCTTGATTGTTATATTTCATTAGAGTTGCTTCTAATTGCACAAGTTCAATGTCTTCTAAAACTTATCTTAGCCATATTGCCTTCATTACACCATAACTTGCTGCCATGTATTCCGCCTCTATTGTAGACCTTGCAATTGTTGGTTGTCTCTTGCAATTCCATGAAATTGCTCCCACTCCTCAAGATCCTCTTAATGGTTGCTCAATGAATTGGTCCAACCTTTGACATGTGTTGACTCACAATACTTTTTGTATATGCAAGATCCACTCTTGTACCAACCTTTGCATACATAAGTGAGCTTATTGCTACCTTGTATGGAACATCTTTCATTTCTTCTTCAATTTCAGTAAATTCCTCATCCGTAAGCTTCATCAACTTCAAATTTTCCTCCAAAGGTGTTCCAATGGACTTGCACTCCTCCATGTTGAATGGTTTCAACACTTCTTCAATGTACTTCTTTTGGCTCAATGTAATGATCTTCTTAGCTTGATCTCTCACAAACTCCA